GAGGTGATTCAGGAGCAGCTGACTGGGGACCTGAGCCTACAGGGGCAAGAGTTGCAACATAGTGTTGGGAAGTAATTCCCCAAGGATGATGGAGGTAGGGCCTGAGATGTAAACAACACAGCCTTTCCTCAGCCAACAGGCCTGGCCCGAGTAACCCTAGCACCACCCTGCTCTGAGAGCCCTTTCTCAAGGGCAGAAGAGAGCGCGAAGTTTAACCTCTGGTATACCACAGTGGAGCAGGGCAGGGTGCTTCAGGCTTGGGCTGCTCTCTCCACAGCTATATGCTTGCCCTGACCTGCGCTGGCTGATGCCCCAGCTAGTGCCTTCGGGAAGCCTGCTGTGGCCTATACCTATCTGTGCAGGAAACTCCCTTTGCCCCTAGCCTCACCTGTAGGGCAGACACATTCCAGGCTTTGGACCCCAGTTAGGAGTTCAGCTGTGGGGAAGGATTAGAGTGGCCTATGCAGAGCTAGAAATCAGGAGGACCGAGGTAAGGTCCCGTCAAGCCTCAGGGAGCGAAACTGTGGGGAATTCTAGGGCAGGATGACAGAAGGGAGGGTGGCAGAGAGGTGAGGAGAACCTATAGCCAAGAGTTCTGGGATAAACCCTTCTTTCTGATGAGTCTTTCAGGAAGGTAGGCAGGTGTAAATATTCACACCCACAACCTCCACCCCACACCCAATAGTCAAAAGTGGAGACTGAGTCAAAAAAGGGACTTCCCTCGAGTCAAGAGAACTGAAAGTCCTGGAGAGGAGGTGTCCCTGTCCCTCTCCTCCCATGCCAAGGCTTTCTTCCCTCACAGGGGCAGACTCTGAGCAAAGCAAGAACCACAGAGACTATGAGGTTGGAACCACAGAAGAGAGGACTCTTGTGTCTGCGGCTGGGTGGGGGAAGGGCCGAGTGCCAGACAGGCCAAGGGGAGAAGAGGGCTGTACTGAAGCTGGTGCAGGACAGAGCCTGGTGGGAGGAATCCCGCTGCCCCGAGGCTGGGCCACCCCAGGTCCTCTTCTACATTGGCCTGGAGAGGGAGCAGCAAGTTGGGTCAAAGGAACTGTTCATTGGCTTTGTCTTGAAAACCGAGTGGTGCAAGGCATTCCCCAGGGCAGTGATTTTCAACCCCTTTCCTCTCAGGCACACGTAAACTAATTACTAAAACTCTTCGGGGCACATCGAGAAGTATATTTTTTTGGCCTGACAAAAAAATTGGTATGATTTTGATGAATTCACACCAGACAGCTACTGTGTGTTGCCAGTTGTCATTTTATTTGACGATCTAAGGAAAAAAGAGTTCAGTGCCCCTAATAGTCAGGTATTGCAAGTTTTAAAAATCCTTGCGGCGCACTGGTTGAAAAGTGCTCCCCTATGGGTTAGTCAAGGGAACGGCTCCCACCTCTGGCCGAGGAGCCCAGGGTTGGGGGGACCCTCTGGCTCTCCAGCAGGCCCCGCGGAGGAGCCTGTGGGCCTGCTCCTCCCTCCCTCTGCCTCACACCCCTCCAGAAGCAAATGGTGGTTCTGGCACTGGGACTGCCCATGATCCACTTAAAGCAGAGAGAGGACAGCCCTCCTCCCTTTGGGGGCCTAGTGGGGCAGGGGAAGGAGGAGGGCAGGGCAGGCGATGTTGGCAGTGGGCTGCCCCCCAGATGCCCAGGCTCCTTTTGTCGGGAGCTCTCCTTTCAGGCTGCGGATGAAGACTCCAGGCCTGGAAGGGGTATGCCTCCTCCTCCGGGCCAGCGCCAGGCTTAGCCACAGGGCGGATTTTCACACTTCCGGGTCACCCCCTTCCTAGGACCACCCTTCTTTCAGCCTCAGATCCCGTCAGGACAGAGAGAGTGTGTTCTTTCTGGAGATGTTTCTCTAGGGGTGGGACCAGGGCGCCGATGGAGTTGGAGGCAGCCAAGTCCACATCCCCTCCCCCCGTCTCAGGCCCTTCCCAGCCCCTCCAGACCGCACCCAGGCACCCAGGCCCTCTCGGGGCTGAGTGGGTTGGGATGTCCCAAAATAAGAAGCTGATCGAATCCGTCTCCCACCTTCACCCCAAAATAAAAGAGAGAGAGAGGAAAAACCTCTTCAGACAACTCCCACGCGACTTCCTCCCCGCCGGGTGGGCCAACGTCGGGGAATAGGTTGGGGGGCGCCTGAGTCAGCCAAGACCTGCGCGGGCGCCCGGGCCCGGGCCCTGTCCCCGCTCCTCCGCGCGGCACCTCAGTTTCCATGCAATTAACACAGAAAAGCAATTAACACCAAAAAGGGCCCAGAGGCGCCGGCGGGGGAGGGGGCGGGGAGGAGGCGGCCCGGCCGAGCCCCCGCTCACAAGGAGAGCTTTGTGTGCGCGCGAAGGCGGCCAGGGCGCCAGCGCCGCGACCCTCGACGCCAGGGCCCCGGGGCCGGGACCCAGAGGGCTCCTCTCCGGGGGACCCGGGCCGGGGCCGCTCCGCCGTCCACCCGCGACCCCACCTGGGCGCGGATGCGCGGGTGGAGGGCCCGCCCGGCGGGCAGCGGCCGCGGCGTGGGGGTCCGGGGCCGCGGTCCTCCAGAGCCCTCCCGGGCCGCCCGGCGCCGGCGAGCGCGGGCGGGAGAGCGCGGGCGAGCTGGAAAGTTAAGAAACAACAAACTCTAGCACATGACAAGGAACCAGGAGAGCGCGGGGTCTGAGCCGAGTCCAAATACTTATCAGGCTCCCAGCCGGTTCCAGAGCGGAGCGCAGAGCCCGGGGGAATTGGGGAGGGTGGGGAGGGGGCCCTGCTGTGAAGTTCTTCCAAGGAAACGAGTGGGAAAGCAGGCGCTGGCGGGGGGGTGGGGAGGGTGGAGGAGGCAAAAGTTGGAGCGACTTGAAGTCCGGAGGAGAGAGAGAGAAAGGAGGGGATCCCGCAGGCCGGAGCAGCCGGGACCCCGAGAGCCCGCCGCTCCGAGGGGGGCTTTCACCGGAGACCCCCGGGCTCGCCTCCCGCGCGGCACGACCCCGGGCAGGGCCCGAGGGGCTCACTTACTTCGGGGCTGAAGTTGCTTTGGGCCAAGCTGAGGGAGGCGAGCGCGGTGGTGAGCGCGAGCAGAGGGAGCAGCAGGCTGCGGGCGGGCCGCGGGGCGGGAGACATGGTCCGCGACCGTCCGGGCAGAGCGGCCGTGCGGGCTCCGCGGCGGGGCCCAAGCCCTGGGGTCGCGCCGCCACTCCCTCGGGCGCCTTTGTCTTCGGGAGGCGCTGAATTTGGATTCCTAGAGCGCTGTCCGCCTGGAGATGAGGCAATTGTTCTTGAAAACGCCTCTTAGCTCGTCCCCTCTTCTCCGTTTTTTGATCTTTCTTCTGCTTAGTCGGCGAACTGGATCGCGAGCCCTCTCTTGCTCTCTCCTCTGGTCCCTCCCTTCTCCCACAGCCTCTCCCCCGCCCCCGCCCCAATGCCCTCCTTTCCCCGGTGCGGACGTGGTTGTTTCAGCCTGAATCCAATTACAGCCAAGAGCCCGGTTAAAAACACACACACACAAACCTAAGTTGACTTTCTGTGGTGAAGGCTGCCATCTCCAGGGTCTGAGGCCACAGCCGACAGCAGGGGATAGTGGGGGGACCCAGGGAACGGGATGTGGGCGACTTTCTCCCCCTAAGCATTTTGGGTGGCTCGATTCCTCGGGTATTCATCGTGTGTCTCCTCACCTCCGAGTGGGAAGTACTGTGAGGTTTGGTGGCTGCAGGAAACAAGTTCAGAGTCTGGGATGGTGGTGGTGGTGGTGGTGTCTTCCATGTCCTGAGACCCTGCCTGGGGGATTGTCTGTTGGGACCTGGGACTAAAACAAATCGAATTTTTGTCCCTTATTCTTGACAATCACCTCTGTCACCCTTGCAAAAAAGAACCAACCACCCATCAACTAATCCCACAACAATGCTGAATTGGGAGAGGGGAGGTCCCTATCCTCGTAGAAAAACAAATGTTCTCTCTGTCTTATGCCACTTACTTACTTGAGACTCCTTAAATTCGAACTGCCTGGTGAAAAAAAAGGGGTAGAAGGTGATGGAATCCGGGAAAAGGCAAATCAAGTTTGGTGTAATTGTTAAGAGATAGGAAGTTGGGACTTTTAGGATTAGTTCCCTACACTGGAAAAGGAGGCAATTCCTTTAAGGATAAAAATCTCCAGGGGTTGACTAGTCTCTGAGAACAAAAGCTGGAGGAGGTATGTGGGAGAGAGCAGGCTAAAACGAGCCTTGAGAAAAGGAGACAGATAAGAGGTTGAGAACCAGATCTGGAAAAGCCAAACAACAGAAGCAGGAAAAGTGTGGGAGACAGAAAACTCGACCATCAGTGAAATCTGAGACCCAAGGATTGCATTGGTCAGCAAGAGGGGAAGGAGGTATTGGGGGCAAGAAGGGAGGGAAAGAAAGCAAGGGAAGGCATAACAGAACTGGACAAATTAGGTCAGGTAGGAAGCTCCCAAAATCCTAGAGATCCAAGAACTGACACGTTTGTAGCATGCGAATGGAAAAAAAAAAAAAGTCCACTGTTCTGTATTATAGACGGAGCAAAGATCCTTTCCACACAGAATCCATGGGAAGAGCCATGATCAATCAAATGAAAGGGCTCTGGCTGGTGTGTCTCAGTGGATTCAGTGCTGACCTGGGGACCAAAAGGTTGCCACTGGATTCTCAGGGCACATGCCTGGGTTGGGGGCCAGGTCAGGTTCCCCTTAGGGGGTACAGGAGAGGCAGCCACACATTGATGTTTCTCTCCCTCCCTTTCCCTAAAATAAATAAATAAAATCTTTAAAAAAATAAAATGAAAGGTTTCTCTGGTCTTGGGGGGCAGCTAATGGGTCTGTGGGAAGTATGTCAGGGATACCAAACCCACAGGGACTGTTTGGGGGTTGAGTACCTCCCTAGGAGGGCAGCCCTCTCTATAACCAGCCTCTGGAATTCAATCATAACTATGGACACGTCAAGATCCAAATCTTTAGAACATGCAACACCCAAGTCTGGTTCTAAACTGACACCAGTTGCTTGTAAAGAAATGGAACTTAAGAACTTTTTCATCAAAATGTTTATTAAAATGTGTAACTGCATGCAGACTGAGCCATATATTGGCATTTCAAGGGTTGAATGCCTAAGATGAAGGAAACTGCTGCCCCTTGTCATGTTTGCAGAGCAGTAACTGCCCATAGTTGGGCCAGTCCTACGACCAGCAAAGGAAGGGGTCAAGTACCTCGGAGTAAGATACCCCTGAACTGGAAGGGAGCAGGGGTGAGAATACTGAACCAACACCGTTGCATCCAGTGTTCTTATAATCCATTCTATGTGGCATTCAAGCTCTTTTGCTCTGAAGATGGATAGGGAATTAGATGGTTGGGATGAAGCATGACTGTGGCAGGCAAGAAAGCCAGAGAGAGGCTAGGAAAGGGAGATAGTTGCTTTTTATCGACTTGGTTGTGGGCTTTGCATAGCAGCCCCTTTAGGTTTAAGAGCATTTTTCTGCTTCCTTTCTTCTTCCTGCAACTTCTCCTGCTGTCTGAGCTGCCATGCTTGTAATCCAGCATCCATTTCCTGTGACAGCAGTACAACTCGTCTCTGAAACAGACAGGAAAACAGGGTGGGTAACATCTGGGGCCTGAGCTCTGCACCATATATCCTTTCACTCACAGATCAAAGTCGGAGGTTTCAGCTGGAAAATGACACTGCTGACTGGGGAAGGGGTGGGGCCAGGTTCCCGGTTGGGAAGCAGGAGGGAGATGGTAAAATGTGCGGCAAAATCTCTTACTACTGGTTCCTGCCCTAGGAGTACCTACTCTATTCCTCCCTTCTCACAGTACTATTAAAACTTTATTGTGAGGGGTACATGTTAACTTAGGTGTCAACACAGCTCAAGACAAATTATGATTTAAACTTTCTCCTCCATATCGCATGCAGGTTGCCCTGGCTGGGGCTTTGGCCACTCACTGCAAACTTCTCCCTTTGGGCTCTTCTTCGAAGCTGGCCTTTCATTGGAGGAGCAGGGCGGCCATCTGCAGATAGAAGTGAGAGAAAAGGCAAATATCAGGCACGGCCTGTAGCACCTTGTGAAAGCACTGACAAAAATGAGGGAGGAACTGATATACCCACTGTGAAGTTCTACTAAAACATGTCCCTCACCGTCGAGAGTGAAGTATGTGAGAACCACCAAGAATAAACTCCCAGGCATGTTCCTACTTGATTTCACTTACCCCTCAATAGCCTGGAATTTGAGGTTCTTTGCAATGCTGCATCGCCTGAGTTACCTTCAGAAACATTCCACTCAAGCACAGTGACCACTGTGCTACTCACCATGAGCCTTTGCTAAAGTCCCTCACTTCATACTGAGAGAAACACCTCTTGCCTTTCCTTCCAGCCAAATTCTCATCCTTAGGCCCACCTCAAGCCCTACCTGTCCCGGAAACCTTCTCTAACCTCTTTAACTCTCTCTTATGAAGGAAGCACATATCAGTCATTTAATATTCATCTGTTTGCCTTGGGACATTTATTGCACTATTGTCTTTAACCCTATTCAGCCATCTCAAGTCCTTTTGGAAATTAGCAGAGCAGTGGAGTATTATTTCATTTTCAAAATGTCCATGCTTTGTTTCTCCAGCTAGACTTTAAGTTTCTTGTGACTAGGAACTGTGTCACTAAGCTTTCACTGTAGTGTAGGCAAATGTGCACAGAATAAAAGTTTCATAAATAGCTGCAGACTTGCTAAGAGGATGCAGTATCTCAAATACCTCATAATGGAGTTAAAGAGAAAGGGCGTTTCAACAAAGAAACAAATAGAGTGAAACTGTGTCCAAAAGTTTGAAGGCAAGGTAGCAAGGAATATTATTTATCAATCAAGGGAGCCAATAGTATGCCAGGTGTACATTTGTCATTTCATTTTATCTTTACAAGAACCATATAAGATAGGTGTTCTTTTACAGATGTGGAAACTGAGGTAAACAATTAAGTAACTTGTCCAAGACCCACAAAGTTAGCAAGTAGAGAAACCTGGATTAACAAGCAATTCCAGTGTCTTTCCGGTATTCCATACTACTTCAAGGAGCTCCTAGGCTTTCTACAGTACATAACAAATAGAAAAGACCTGCACCATCCTCCTCAGACACCAAATATCGGATAAAGCAGGATCATACTCCTGTAAAATCCAATAGGACTCCTCTCTCTGAGATGCTCATTTAGGCAGCCTTTCAAGGAGCTCTCCCTGTATTGGGTACCAAATGCTCAATAATGCACTCATCGCACAGATGGGCGGTTCTTCCTAACTTTCTAAGAGCTACGTCTCACTCTGAGAAACGTAGAATCTGTTCATTACTTCCCCGGTGGCCGCCCCAAGTCCCAATTTTCTTCTGCTTATCCGCACAAGCCAAAGGATCCTGCCTACCTTTATTTTCCACAGGAGTAGTTTAATTTACAAAATAAACTAGGGTTCCTTCCCCCTGTAAAGTAGGTTGTTCACTCAGACACACTCCCACACCCCTACTCCGTCCAGGCGCGTTCTCTCTTACTGAAGCTTTCCCAAGTAGCGTTAACTGTCAAGTCAGTGCTCACCCGCATAAGACCAGTCGGGGAGCTCCGTGAGGGGCCCGTAGCTGGAGGGGTTGGCAGCCAGGCCCTGCCTGGGTGGATAAAAACAGTCGGGTTAGGGCTCATTTAAGCTTCTGGATCCCCTCCTCCCCTAAACCGGCACTCACTGGAGTCTCCACTGGCTGCCCGCCCGAGCCGCTGCGCTGCAGTGCAGCCTCCGGACACCTGCTGGGAAAACAGGGAAGAGTTGGGAGAGAGGCCGTGCTGCCAGCTCATGGGTCCCACGCCCGCCCCAACGGGTTCTCGAGCCTATGTACCCCACATCCACTCACTAGAGAGCAGAGTACCCAATGCGGCCATGCTGTGGCCGAGGAACCGGAAGTGGGCGTGGCCTCAGGGGACGCGCGCAACGCTGCGGCGAAAGCAGGAGGCCGCCATCCTGAATCTGGTTTTCAATCACGGGCCCCGCCATCTTGGGTCATTGTACGGAAGACAAGGACAACACTGTGGCTTATTTTGGAACCCGAACGGTATTTCATCCTATGCATCCTCACTGGTGGTTACGGCCTCGGTGGAGATGTCCTCCCAGACGGAACCGTTCTGAACTGTTTCTACGAATTTTCTGCAGCAGTCTCTAGTCTTTTGAAATTTATCTTTTATTTCAGCGAAGTAACACACACGTCACCGCATTCTATCTTCTCCCTCATTCCTACATTTTTCCCAGCCTAAGAGTCAAACCTAAAGAATCAGCCCAGGTTGGTGTAGCTCAGTGGATTGAGCGGGGGTGGGGGCGGTGGGGGTGAGGGTGGGGGGTGGGGGGGCGGGGGGGGGGGCTGCGAACCAGCTTTTGGTTCGATGGTTCGATTCCCAGCCAGGGCCCATGCCTGGGTTGCAGGCCAGTTCCCAGCAGGGGACACACGGGAGGCAACCATACATTGATATTTCTTTTCTTCTCTCCTTCCCTTCCCCTCTAAAGACAAATAAAATCTTTAAAAAAAACACTTAAAAAAAAGAATCAGAAAGTTTGGGTCTCAATTCTCACTCATTTATCCAACAAAATTGGAGAGCTATGTGACGAGCACTGTATTAAGTCTAGGAGACTCTGTGGGGAGCAGGACAGACATTATTCTGATAGAGCTCCCAGTCTAGAGAGAGAAGACAACAAATAATCACACATTACTGTAATATTACAGCTGAGATACGGAAGGGAAGTATGTGATGCTTGTGAGCATATAAGGCTACTTGACCTAGAATAGGCTGGCAAGGCTTTCTTGAGGAAGAAGTACCAGAGCTAAGATCTGATTCTATTTTTGTAAGAGCTACCACCCTCCATTGGGGAATATAATCTTTGCAACAGCCTTGTGAGGTAGGTACTAGTAAGTGGTGAATCCACATCTGTGATTCCTTCTTTTTTAATCACTTACTTGCTTTGAGTAAGTCATTTGTCCTCAATTTCTGCATTAAAAAAAACTTAATAGCGCTGGTTGGTGTGGCTCAGGGGATTGAGCGCTGGCCTGCAAACCTCAAGGCTGGTGGTTTGATTCCCAGTCAGGGCACGTACCTGGGTTGTGGGCCAAGTCCCATGTTGGGGGTACATGAGAGGCAACCACATATTGATGTTTCTCTCCCTCTCTTTCTCCCTCCCTTCTCCTCTCTCTAAAAATAAATAAAATCTTTTTTAAAAAAAGTGTAATATATAACATTTGCACAAACATTTTAAGGATGATAATGTAAGTGAAAGTGCTTACAAGTGGTGAAGCTCCTACAAAGTGCCGATTACTGTGTTTTAGGCTAGACACTTAAACACGTGCTGACAGAGGGAACCTGACGGTGTGGTGTAACACCCTATTTGAAGTTTATCATTTCCTTCTGCAAGCCTGGGAAGTTTTTCCACAGGAGGTGCCTCTGGGCTGTGCTTTGAAAGAGGGGAAGGGTGGATCCTAGTTTAAGAAGTTAAGAGAAGTTATTTTGATAACAATAAGAATAGGAGAGAGGCTAGGACCAAACCAGAAGAAGGTATGGGAACAAAAGAAACTTGGTTGGTAGTCAGGGAGGGGGTGAGAAGTTAGGGGGCGGAGGGATGGAGGAAAAAGGCCTCATTTGTGGACACCGGTGTGGTGATTGCAGTGGGGAGGGGAATATAGGGGGGTTAAATGGTAATGGAAAAAATACAATTAAAAAAATTTAAAGAAAAACTTAGCTGTAAACCAACAGAGGGACCCAAAAAACTAAGCAAGGGAAATAAGACAATAGAGTACCATTATCATCTTACATTCATATGCTTCATTTTCACTTACCAAAAACACTTCCGTATGAATGATTTCATACGATTTTCATAATAAACCTGTAAAGTAGATAAGTCATTCCAGGAGGCAGTCATTGTATAGATTGCTTGTAGTTTTCAGAGATCAAGAAATTGAACCAAAATGTGGCTGTGGATTTAACATTTTACAGATGCAATAAGCACTGAGGGACACCTTTCTCACGCTGGGCTGCATGTGCCTTTGGCTGGTTCTGAGATGCACAGCTGAGACAGACAGAATTGGAATCCCATCACCTAGTTTACACTTGGGGAATCAAGTAACAAGGGTTGGAAGGGCCAAGGGTTGGGAAAATAACCTCAGTGTCAATATTCAAGATTGTCAGGGAAGATGACACTACCACCAATGCTATATCTTTTTATTTTTAAAAAATATATTTTATTTAGTTCTAGAGAGAGGGGAAAGGAGGGAGAAAGGGAGAGAAACATCGATCGGTTGCCTCTTGCATGCCCCCAAACTGGGACCAGGAACTTGGCCCACATCTCAGGTATGTGCCCCAACCTACTGGGAATATAACCGGTGGTGCCTTTTTGGTTTATGGGATGAGTCCCAACCCACTGAGCCACACTAGTCAGGGCCCAATGCTACATCTTTACAGTGTTTATGGAACTGAACCAGCAACATTCCTTTATTCTAGGAACAGAAGGGGACACCACGGACCTGCATCATCGTAAAAAAGGGAACATGTGTCCTGGCTGGTGTGGCTCAGGGGAATGAGGGCTGGCCTGTGAACCAAAGGTTGCTGGTTTGATTCCCGGTCAAGATAGTGCCTGGGTTGTGGGCTGGGTCCCTGGTGGGGGGAGTGTGAGAGGCAACTGATCCATGTAACTCTTTCACATTGCTATTTCTCTCCCTCCCTTTCTCTCTCCCTTCCCTTCTCTCTAAAAGTAAATAAATAAAATCTTTTTAAAAAGGAACATGCATTAAAGTGCGCAGACAATGTGAACAGTAGGAACTCTACCTGCAGAAGTCAACACATGTAATAATTTAATAGCTGTGGGAGTCATGGAGCTACAGCTGGAGAATTTTGGGGCAAGATGGGAAGTTTAACCATGAAAACCGGGAAATCTGGGAGGAGAAAGGTCTTGGGAAAGAAGACAAGTTCAGCCTTTGACGTGGTTATTTTGATGTGGCGGGGGGCCAATCCATGGGCTGCAAATAGCAGGAAATATGGGTTAGGATTTTGAGAGACAGAGACAGAACACTACTGCTGACAGCTAACATCATCAGCATTCTCAGGGACCTCATGGAACACATGCAAGGGAGGGGTTTGGCACTTGGAAAGCCCTCCTCAGTGACTTCATCAGACTCATAAGCCACAGGAAAGTGGTTCCAGCATCCCAAACTAAATGTCTTTCTACTTCTGGAGTTCATCTGGCAAAGGCTGGAATTAAGAGCAATGGGACACATCAGGAATGTGAGCTGCATGTCTCCCCTCTGTTTAACACTTTTGCCTCTCAAGGGCATAATGGCCTGTATTTGGCTTTAACATTTCTTTTAAATATTTTATTTATTTTTGGACAGTGGGGAAGGGAAGGATAAAGAGGGAGAAAAACATCAATGTGCAGTTGCCTCTCGCACGTCCCCTACTGAGGACCTGGCCTGCAACCCAGGCAGGTGCCCTGACTGGAAATCCCACAGGCCGGGGCTCAATCCACTGAGTTGCACCAGCCAGGGCTGGCTTTAACATTTTGTTATCCACTCATGGTTTTTTTTTTTTTTGTCTAACATGTTTATTTAACTATCCTTTTGCCCGATTTGTATACAGTAACTTTTGTACAACTGCTTTGCTCTGGGAAGTTGGGTGCTTTCTTAACCGTTGGATGATTAATGATGATGTTGAAGAGAGCATGAGTGAAGCTGACTATTGCCCGCGCCACCTCATTTTGCTTCCTCTTCCCCTTTTTGCATACTTGTGACCGAATTCTAAGGTTTGGGAAGTGTCTTATTTCACATTCCTTCATTATCTTCCTTCTTTGGACAGCTAAAGATCATATCACTGTCACACTCCAGTGAGAAGTGTGGGCACTGATGGCTATAAACCACCCACTCACACACTGCATTACTTTGCATATTATTTTCTTATTATATACATAATTATTGTAATGTATTCCTTTTCTTATCCCGTGGCTGTCAAATCCCTGTTAAATCAATATGACCTTGGGCTACACCATTTTTTTTTTCCCCAACAACTTTGAAATCTCTTAAGCTGTGGCTTTCCACCAGACTGGTTTTGAAGGGCGGTGGCTCTCTGTCAATCTCTGCAGAGTTATCACTTTGAGTTAAAACATTGACTTTATAAAATGCCAAAGCGAGATTGACCAAAAGGTATACCAAAGGAAACTGTATTATTTAACAAGTTATCTTTTAGCCTTAAAACATGGTTAAGCATTTACAGATCCCCTCTTCTTTTTAACAAGCCCAGGAAATTCCTTTACTGTTGGGTCGACACTGCCTCGAAGACTTCAGGTGAAAAGTGCTTTTGTGCCTCCAGCCTCCCAGGTACCCTCGACCAGGACATTTTTTGTTAAGTGCTGCCTCCTGGCGGCCGCCCCCCTTCACGACACCTTTCTGGCCTAGAGGAGACCACTTTCCTTAATTTGGGATGTCGAGGATGATGCAACAGCTCCCCCGAGGGGGCGGGGAGTTGAGAACCTCGGGGGAGGAGACACCCTTCCGGGAGACCCCTCCCCCAGCTCCAAGCGGGCGCTGCTCCTGCTGCCCTCCCCCACAGGACTCTGCAGTCCTAAGTCCTTCCAAATTTCAGCCGAGCGTCTAGGAGCTGGAGTCGGGCCGTCTGCTGGAGCTGGATTGGGAGGGAGGGAAGAGGAAGCTGAGCGTTCCTGGGGCAGAGGACGCGGCGGAGGGCATCAGCGGTCATTTTCATTCCCAGAGGCAGCGCAGCGGTGCCTGAGCCAGAAGGCAGAGGACCGGGTTGCGAGGTCTCTGGGTTCTCGGTCCTTTGCGCCCCTTGCCTGCAGCTACCACGAGCCCTTCTAGCGCTTTCTGGAGCCCGCGAGGGACGAGAGCTCCTTGGCCAGGGGGAGGGACCTGAAGGGACGCTGGGCGGAGCGGGG